CTTAATTTAATTCCATTACTTAGACTTATATTCTAATTTGGCTGGATACATTTTAATTCATATAAGTCTGAATTATTTACTTACACTGCTTCTTTAATTTTGTTGGGGTGGCCAGACAGAGGACCCTTGGAGGAGACATCCACGCTGAACAAAGGGGGGTAGCACTATTTAGTTTTATACTTATTTGTCTTCTTGTTACTTTGATTAGGTTAGTAGTTTTAGTTAATTATTTGGTGTAATACTCACCTCTTGTGTTCAGTCTTAGTTGGCTCTCATGTATTTGTTCTTTGTCTGGTTGGGTTAGTTTTGTTCTGTTAAGTTTGATTGAAGTTAACCCAGTTGGGCCCAGCTTTTTGTTAATGATTTACCTTTGAGCCTTTGTTAAATTACATCTTTTTAAAACTTTATTAAATTTAAACTTATTTTTATAGCTTGTCTTTGCCTGACAGTTTGGTCCACTACAGGCACTATACCTGATATATTTACGTATATAAACATGAAAAACAGATCTAGTTTTTTAAGGGTTTGCAGTGGTCCAAAGTTATTCCTCACTTACTTTATGCATTTCCAACATCGTAATTATTAACTGCTATGAGTTTGTAAAGGTTCAGAGACCAGTGCGGAGATTTTGGCATGATGGTAAAACTAATAACAGACACATTTCCTTATTATCAGATAATAAAATGCTTTCTAATTAGACAGAAAGAGTACATGGCAGACTCATTTTGACTTCAAGAGCTTTTTATACAATATATCTATATTGGGGCAAGAAAAATTGTGTTCAAATTAGGGCTGGGCAAAAATAAAAAATTTTAATCGCGATTAATCGCATGAGTTTGAGCGATTAATCGCGATTAATTGCATGTTATACGCAAAACCAATTAATGAATTAAAAAGTAGAGTATAGCGCACTTTTATTGGAAATGTAAATGAAAGAGCCACACAGGGGAATCTTCAGAGCCTTCAAGGTATTCAGGGAAGGCTCAAGAAAAAATATTGAATGGACTTTTGTACTACTAATATATTTATTGAATATTTTTTATGCTGTGAGTAATGAACACTACACTAGTAATAATTTCTAGATCATTGTTATAAACTTGAACTGATATTTCTTGGGAAACAAAGGGTTAATATAATGGAATGGAAATGGACCAATCACATTTTTTCTTCCAATGGTATCTGGGTAAATCAATGACTCCAACACTGAACTAAAGAAACAAGCTCAGCTCAGCGCGCACAGCTGGTCTGGCCAGAGCCGGAGCCTGCGGCCGAACCTGTGGCCGGGCCCGCGACTCACGGAGGCTCGGACACATTGCATCTCATGTGGTCAGAAAAAAGTGAAAAAGAAGTGTAAAGAAAAGACGTTAAACTTAAAGAAACGTTCGCGGTGGACTTTTTCAAAATAAAAGCCAGTGAGAAACAGACTTTTACCATTAAATAAATAAATAAATAATAAAAACTGCATTAATGGCATTAAAATAATTGTCGGCGTTAATGACTTAATTAGTTAACGCAAAGTTAACGCGTTAACGTGCCCGGCCCTAGTTCAAATACATAGGGAAAATGGGGTATATAGGAACTTGAACAAATATATTTCAGATGATGATGTAGTGCACTGTATTATTTTGGGGGCAATTATGAATCAAAACAAGGATAAATCAAAGTTCTTACCTTCAGGCCTCTTATTCAGCAAATTTCAATTCATTCACCACATCAGTCAAAATGTATTATAACTTTTTTAGAGGAGCAAAACTCTGAAGTTGCAATGACAGTTATTCTCAGTCCTGACCAAACCCATTCATCCCATTGCACCAGTAATTTGATGCAATTTTAAACTGACATCTTTTACAAACTCAATTTCTACAAGCGCCAAGAAGCCGAGCAATTATCCGAAACACATTTTGTTCACTGGTCTCTCGTCTTTTTGTCCGAGGCATCAGTGGACTAGTCAGGACTGTATCATTAGAATCATCCTTTTGTTTCTTCACATGTTACTAGGATGAAAACGTACCTTCAACTATTCTATCCGACTCTGCCTGTCTGTCAGTATTGTTGAAAAATACCCCCACCGAAGTCTATCAAACTGTGCCTCTGCTGATAAATATGCATGCTAGCAGCTTGAAAACCAGATGTTTCGCTCCAATTAAAGCTTGCCGGGATGCACCGCTTTGCAAATAAATTGTTGCTTTTTTAATTAACGGCGCATGCTAGCGGGCACAGAAACCAGTAAAAACAATGCAACCGCAGAGAGTAAAAGAACGGCACATCACAAGGGCAGGCAGGGAGGAAGGGAGAGTGTGGAGAACAAGGTGAAAGAAGAAGCTTTGAACTTGTGACCGGCCAAGAACTACTGAGGAGATCTGGTGTGAAAAGTCAGCGCAGTTTGGGCGAGCTGTGTGAACTGGCTATAGCTGACAGCACACAGACTGGACAGAGAAATGTGATGTAGTCAGAATACAAAGGCGATACTTGTATTCCATCTCTGTATTAAAATTACCATTAGCCACAGCCACAGTCATGAAAGAGTTAACAGTGGCATCAAAAGCGACTGGGACAAGCTGTCAGGAGCAGTGGGCGATTTCTGCGTCTAACTAATGGCATTCCAACACTCTTCATGATACAAAAATTGATGGAGATATTATACCACCCCATACTTATCACTGGTTATACTGTGTGGAGCGACTTAGCCATAGGTGGTTTGGATCAACTCATGAGCTACTACTCTTTTTTTAAAGCCAAAGCATGTAACGTTTTAGCCAAAAAACAGACAACAATAAAAGCATTTTGTTGTCTCCATGGTCAGTGTTGGGAAGTAGCTACATATATGTACTGAAAATATATATTCAGAATAATTTTGAGGAACTTTATTATTGTGCAGTTTAATAATACAAATTAACACAAAGCAAACAGAAAAGAGCAGCAAAAATAAAGCTATTTGTAACTATGACATGTTGATAGGGCTGCTCGATTATTATCACGATTATTTTGGTCAATATTGAAATCACGATTATTCAAACGATTATTTTTTTAGTTACACAATGCATTTATTCAGCAATTCTCTCTAAGAAAACACTTTGTTATTGATCATTTATGCAGAACTTTCAAACTGAAAATAAATATAGGCTACAAATGTGTACCTTAGGACAGTTTTGCGATGTATAAAACATAAAATGAATAAAATATACTTTGAACATGTAATAAGACAGATAAAAAGACAGATAGAAAAACATAATGTATCCAAAATAGTCTATACATCCAGCTGTTCTACAATCACTATATAAAAAAATTAAATAAACATACTTATTTATATTTTTAAAAATCACAAAATATACTTTGTTAAGTTTTCATCGTTTGAACTCGATTATAAAAGTTTGGAGATCGTTTGACACACGAATCAAAATCAAAATTCAATTAACTACACAGCCTTACATGTTAATATAATGTAACTTGATCTAAAAGTATTCAGGATACAGTACTCTGATTGGCCTATTTAACAGAATACATTACAAAATATTAAATAAGCTTTCAAATAATTCTTCCAATCACTGTCCAGGGTGAATGTTCCAAAGTATAGTTTTAAAGTTCTATTTCCATAGAATCTTCCAAAAAATTATATACTGTGCACAAGTTATTTTTTCTGACACTGGAAATGATCCTTTATACATGTCAAAGTTATAACAGATAGTCAGATAATGTATAATACTTTACAGATAGCTTTGATAGCCTGTGTACTCTTACTGCGTTCCAGAGTGAATCGCAATAGTCAGGCCACCTCCGTTTGCATTAACACCAGATTAATGGCATTTGCACCCTGCACAAAGGACGCTCACTTCGGATAGAATGACTCTGCAAGTTTAAATGCAAAACTGGAGACATTCACATATTAAGCAGTTTACGCAATTCTTCCTTGAGCACACTCTTTTTGAGCAAAACATTTCTTCTACTCATTTTGAGGACTTTTTTCGTTTCAAAAGTGATAATATATAAATAAATAAACAGTAAATAGTCCATATTGTTTATGCAAAAGAAAGCTCATTATGTTAAATTAGACAATGTGGGATTGAATAGTTTTATCTTCTTCCCACTTATTTTTGGGCAAAAGTAAAGAAAACTGTGCATATTACTTTCATGTTTTGTTTTGTTTTTGTTGTTCTTGTTTCTGTTGATCCGACCACACTCATGTCAATATGGATGGTATTATGTTCCACTGTAAAAGAACGCATAACGTTTACTTTACTAAAATAAATACATTAAAGGCGCATTGTGTAACTTTTCTGGTGGAGGGTCCATCAGATGCTTTTCTCTTGCTTTGTCTGGAATGTTTTACAGTACTGTATTAAACCTTCTTCATGGAGACCAAACCAGACCAAGTTACAGGTCAAAATGCCTTCTCTCTAAGTATTTTTGAGCTATAAAATCACCTCTAATTTAATAAATATAAGGCAGAGATGTTTATTATTGTACTGTGGAATATTCCAGGCAGAGAAAAGACATATCCATAAAAACAAGCAGGTGACAGACGAAGCACCTTTAAAAAAATATTTAGTTTTTAATTGTGGCCATGGCTACAGTCCAGCTTCTCATTCTGAAACTCAAGAGTACTTCTGACCAATCTGTAATAAAGACTCTTCAAACCATTGTAAATGTACCTACATAATATCAGATTGACAATGACTCATTACAGTGCGCATCAACAACTAAAAGTATATACAGCATGGCGCAAAAAGGATTCGCCTACACATATCGCTTTACTGCCCACTGCTTTGGTCACAGATATCGAACGCCTCACTCGCGGTGCAACGCAAATTCAATCAAGTCATCAACTTTCCCCACATCAAAGCCTCGAATGTATACGTCCACGTGCCCGCCATACCGATCCCACCATGGAACACCCCCCAGCACTCTGCGTCCACTTCAAAGGCACCCACCCAGAGATTATTATTTCACCTAAACTACTGCGGGTTGACCCAAACAAGCAGAGGAAACCACAGAGGACTTACCGTCAGGAGGCTGCGCCGGCGTGAAGTGGGGAGGTTTGTCTGGAAGAGATAAAAGACAAAAGGATTTTAGTTTGAATGGTTCGCAGACTTCCCATGGGACATAAGGATCTGTAATTGAGTCGCTGCAATACAAGAGATACACTTGGCTTTTGACTGTGAGATACCCCCAGGACCCCCCCGCTGAGCCTATGGACAGGGGAGCTGTGATAGTAGGATCAAGGTGCTTTTGTCATTCATTGTTCCATACCTGTGATCCCTAAAGCTCATTACATCAGACTGTGCCGTTAAATGCTAGTACGGAGATTAAAATTATTACCTCATGCTAAGGGCTAAATCTGCATTTCTCTTATTTGAGTCCAACACCTGCCATGTAATTTGTTGTTTAAGTACTGTGGCATAAGGCGCTCATAAACATTTAACAAGCTACAAAGTCAACAGACTGTTTCTTTGGGTCAGATTAACTTTTAACACAAAACGCACTCTTGTGAGCTTTAAGCCATGTTATAATGCTGTTAGCTCATCAAATAAATACAGCAGCTATATTCATTTGTCAATTGGTGGTTTTCAGATACTTCAACGTGATGATGCTGAAGATGTCATACTCCTATCCCATCATTTATGTAAATAGTGACTAGAACTCACTATATTTCAAGAACAATCAGCATTTCAATATTAATTTTAGCAGCCCCACATCTGAATGAAATATTATTGGCTGATAAAATGCCAAGCACTTATAATCCTTTAATTTTCTCCAAAAATCATCAGTGAGCCTTATGTATTAATTCTGATTGTGCTTCCTGACCTTGAACCAATTTTATGCGGTACCCAGTGTTCAAAAATCTGTCAAAATGTTTTAGTACGACTTTGGCTTGATGGATTGTCGGAGCATTACGGCTACTGTAGTCAGGAGCCTCGTGGAGTAAGTGAGTTGTGTCCTTTAGCCCGACAGAAGCTAACTGCATCAGAGCTGTTTTTTTCAGCACTTTCAGTTTATGCAAATGAGCCATGTGGTTTTAAGTTTCATTTCTGTAAAATGTAAACAAATGTGCGCAAAGTTGCATCAGACACATTATTACTCAATGTATTTTTGAGTCGACCTTGTAGGAAATAAAAAAATTAACTGAAATTATCCAGCCACATTCACATTCATAATACACATTCACCAAGACAGGGAGGCAACGCCCGGAGAATTACATCACGATCTGTCAAAGGATCGTCGATGCCTGGGCTACAGGATCAGTCTCAAGTGTCGTCCGTTTGTTTCTCTTAATGCTCCTTATTATCCGATGCGCTTATGTGTGAAAATAGATGAGAGAATTCAACCTTACTGAAATTACTTTCTCAGAATGTTGAGATTTGACAGTCCTTTGCATTTGCCTAATACTTGACAAGTTTACCATGTTTCTGTCAGGCACTCAAAATATCATCTGGTTATAGCTATCAAAATACTACACAAAAATATCAAGATATTAATTAAAGTTTTAGCTAGAACCCATGAATGTAAATGTATATATGAAATGAAAGTCATCTAATGCAGTACTGTAGATAGATACATGAATGAGAACTTTATGTCCTGATAAGCTTCACAATTTTCAAGTAAGACAGTAATGGATTTTTCTCTATTCAGTAGAAAGATACATAAAACATACATGTACAGGGCATGCATAATGTATATCTTGAGGGAGTGTTATGTAGCATTTACTGTTATGACTGCTAGTGGTCGCCTTCACATTAGCCAAGCACTTTTCTTTTCATAGTCTGAAATATTATCCATTTTCAAACTGTTGTACTGTAAATTCCAGCATTCCTGAATCTTGCCAATTGCTATTGCTATTGCACACACAAAAACACAGTGACACAGTAATCATTTTTTTACGAAAAATGGTGAAATAATTCGCACTGCACTGAAAAACAACAATACAAATAGCCACCCTGCATACTGAAACCACATGTAGAATCAATCACTTTTTCTCTTCAGGTATCAGGTGTCCTAAATGCTTTTCTTTGGTCGGGGTATGAGGCGATGACATAAGGCGTGGTGGTTACAGAGCAGCGGGTAACTGGATATCAGGTGTCAGGTTAGCTAGGCCACATACTTACACTCAAGGGAGAGCCCTGACAAACCTGCTGTAATCTGAAGCACCATGTTTTAACACACTGCTGGTGGGAGATCAGAGGAGATTCTTTGAGTTTTTTTTCTTTCTTTTATCAAAATTTGAATCAATATTATAAATAACTGATAGTTTTATTACGTATTCAAGAGTTGATATTATCTTTTAATTGAGTGAAAAAACACACATACAAAGATCTATTGGTGGTTTTCAGATTGTGAAATATAATGATGTCATGCTCCCAGAAGGAAGGCAAGAGTCAGTTTTCCCTCATGGTTACACAGTCCTTTCATAATAAATATTTTAAAGGTAAACAAAAACATTAATAATATTATTTTGACCTGAACCTGACCCTTATCTGTTAAATACTGACCTATAAAATGTGGTGATGTCATCTGGACCCCAGCAATGTACAATAATATACAGCTCTAAATGTTAAGATAGATAGAAATTTGAACTGAGATAAAGTCGTGATTAAAAGGACCATATTAGGCATACTTCGAGTTGTGTTTTGTTTCATTCACAAATGTTTAATAGGGGTCTGCAAAAATATCAAAACATCGATATATCATTTAATGTGATGATATAGTACTGATATCGTGGGCTGCTGTATCAAAATATCGCCAAGAGTATTTTTTGGTGTATTTTACAAAATTATTTTGTTACAGCGCTAGAGTTTTGTTGCTTGTTTAGAGGAAGGAAACTCGTTTGTGCAACACATTTGACATATTCACAGTTTTAATGAGTAAAATGTTTGTGCTTCATATAAACTTTGCACAAGACGTGGTTTAACAAGGACTTTTAGTATCATAGTCATGATTTAGCTATTATAGTTTTATTGAATCATACTGAATCGAAAGCTCACTGTATTGAGATATGTATCGTATCGTGGCCTATGTATCGTATCGGCAACTAATGATACCCAACCTTAATGTTTAACACACAAAGCCTGTATATTAGTTCTTCTATCAAACTGAAATACATACAAGAAGTGGTCCACTGTGTTTTTAAACTCTGAACACCTTCACTACAATCATTTGGCTCATTTCTGGCCTGGAACTGCCAATCTTTACTGAACTAAATGTAAAGGGTAGCTGTTAACTTGAAAACTATCACTACGACTATGACATCACAAGGTGGAACAGAGCATTTTGAGTATTGGAGATGTAGGCAAGACTAATAATAAAGCATTACTCAATGTGGAATGAACCAAAACAACTCTGGGTATGTTTTTGAGCTGGTAGCAACATTGTAACATGGCTAAAAGCTCACAAGAGTCCATTTGTGTAATACAGGGCCTTTAATCTTCAGTTAAAGCAAGCAGTTTGGAGCAAAGTTTAGAAGAAATTGATCTATGTTTTGTGTTAAATGGCAGTAATTAAAAGTCTGTCTTGTTTACATTCAAGAAATCAATACAGAAAGTCATTTTTATTTAGTTTTGAAAATCTGAACTTTCTTCTATTTTCACAGTCACCATACATAACACATTCATGTAAACTCCATTATATTTCCAAGATCGACCAAATGGCTCACAGCAAGTCATTTTTCTCTGACCACAGGTTACAACAAATTGAACTAACCTCCCTACTCTTTTGTATTCCCAACAAATACTTCATTCACGACAGACCAGCAGCCCTTCCTCTGACGCACACTATTGAACAAAATAAAATGCCTAAAATCAATTACAAAGCTAACACATTTTTTCACTTCAAGTCTAGTCACAACTACATTCTAACGTTTTTCTCAAGTCTGATGATAACTGCTGCTGTCCTGGCTGAGTTTTAAATTTAGGCTCTCTTCAAATTGCATGTCAACAGACGAGGCTTCAGGGTGAGGGACTATGAGAAAGTGCGGTGGAGAGAGAGAGAAAAATGAGGATGTGAGGAGGCGAGGCGGGTGCTACAGAGGTGAATAATCAAGTCCCTGCTCCAGCGCTTCTCCAGTCACTCATGACCGTTCCTATCTGCGGGGGATTTTCACAACACCTATCAAGGGTGGTGAGCTGGAATTGCTGAGGAGGAGACGCAACGGAAGTTCAAACAGGCTGCTCTCGCTGCTTCTGTGGATGTAAATATATTTGTATGGGAACAATGTATGGGGTTTCTTGTAAAGAGCTTTCAGTGCACTGAAGGGAGAAAAGCGCTATTTAGAAATGTGACTATGAACTGTGCAGTAGTCTAATTTGTGAGGCTGAAGTAGGGCTGTAATTCTTGGTTGACTAAAGCCTGCTGATCGACTAGTTGACTAAAAAGGGGGCGTGGGAAATGCTCTCAAAACTATTATGTATGTCTATGCATCTGACCCAAACTCCACTCATAAGACTAAACCATGCAAAAAACAATATTTGTCAGATGTGGGGCTTGCAGGTCATGACTTGGACTCGAGTCAGACTTGAGTCACTATTTTTAGGACTTGAGACTTGACTTAATAAAATGGACTAAGACTTGGGACTCGACTTGGATTTGAAGGTCAGTGACTTGGGACTTGACTCAGACTTGAGACCTGTGACTTGAGAAGACTTGATGCTTCTCCTATAAAAATATATAAAATACTTTTCTCTTTACAGTTGATAAATGTAGTGCTGAATTTTAAAGGAACAAACAAGAACATGTCCCTCCCACTTCTCTATTTTGTACTGAAGTACTCTGAGATGGTATTAATACAGTACTACAGTAATATACAGTAATATACACTACAATACAGTAATATACGGTGCAATACAGTAAGACTGATAGAACTATTAAGTTAATACTATTAAGCACTTTTAAATCTTAATAAAAAAGGGAAAAAAATTGGATTTCTACAACTTATATAAATAAATATACCATGACTTTTTAAGTACAATTTCGTTTAAAAATCATATAAATAGCAAAAACCAAAGCTATATTTAGTACTTTGGTTTAAAGACTTCAAATGGCTTGAAGTTCA